TCTGAAGGAACAACCCAAGGCTATGAAACACAAATAAAGTAAAAAATTAGCTTATTATAAGATTTCAACTAGAATCATCTTATTTACATTTTCAGTAGTTTGAACTACAACACTTTATCAAAACAACAGCAACACCTTTTCAACAATAAGAAAAAAACATTTCCTTCACTACTTTATGACACATTTTTTTTTAATCAGTGCAGGTCTAAATAAATTCAGCATTTTCTGTAAATATTGACTGGAAGGAATCTCCCACAATGCTTCTACAAGGTCTCACTCAGTTCAGGCTATGTCCAGGTTCTGTAGAATCTTCCTGATACATCAAAGATGGAAAATGTTCCAGGTTCCAGCAGGCTGAAATTCAGATGATGGCTTGGCAACATGTGCTCCTGGAGATAAGCCAAGCATTCACATGCTTCCACAAACAGGCTACACTTACCACAAGCTTCTTTGGCAGAACCCTGACTCACCTTCACATGATTTTAGTGGCTCTGTTAAATAAGCTCTAAATTGAAACAAACAATAAGCATGGACAAGATAGCCACATGTTAACATTCCAAAAACCGATTTGGCAATAAACCACCCTCACAAAGGAAGATTCTTATAGCTGTAGAGAAATGTATAATCTCAACTTTATTTTTCTTCCCCCAAATCAAGGCTAGTTCACTGATTGATGATAGTAAGAATTATCTTGTGTAGTGATTGCACAGTGTGCACCCCGAAGTATGTTAAGGGCTTGTTGTAAAATGAAGTAAGCAAAACTAGAGTTTATAATCACCAGACCATTTAGGGTAAACACTGGTAGTCTCCAAAGATCTAAACAGCTGAGGGCTTTAGTCTACTCTTCTATAATCTTATAACATAAGGAGTATGTTACAATGAATAGAAATCTCAGACTAAATTCTGCTGCATGTAAAAACATTGCTGTACTAGAAGTACTGCAATGTTTTTGGAAATTTTTATGAGTTTTGCAAAAAACAGACTCATAGGCCTATGTCACAAAAGTCTGTAAAGTCCCTGATTTCTGTCTTTAAAGTCATTTTGAAAAGTAACCTGTGTGAAAGGTTTAAAGCAGTTGTAACTGCATTCTACAGTAGGATACATTTAACTTTCTAAGCAGATCACTCACCATAATCTTACATACCATCAAAAAGGATCAAATGGAGTACTAGTTAGGTATTTTACCACTCTGCTAGTTTTGTTCACTCTTTCTTCATTCTTATATCTTTTATCTAAATCACCTAGTAGGCATTATAAATGCCAAACCAAAACACTTGGTTCACTGCCCTCAGCTAAATACGGGTCAGCAAGGCAACTGAGACCCCTCTACTCAGGTAAAAGATAATATCCATAAGCTACTTTAGCAAGGAGAGGTTTCTGAGGGACAGCCCATTTGCGGGCATTAAAAGGCTGGATGCTCTCCTTCACAAACACAAATGCACATAACTCTAACTCTGAAATCAGCAGTCAAGCACAAAAAGGAAGAATAGGAAATATAAAGATTAATATATGTAAAAATTATAAAAGTAAGTTTTTTCTTGCAAAAATAAGGGAAAAAAGAGAAAGTAAAGGTCAATTTACGTTTGTTCATATAAACAGTAAGCTCACTTCTGTAATCCATGTGAACTTGCCCAAAGAAAGGTAAACTAGTCTATCTATGAAGATGCTAGTGCTGCTAAGCAGTATTTCCAGTTCTCCTAATGGGTACAAAGGGTATTTTCTTTCTTTACCCTTTCCTGCCTTGGAGTAGGGCTATGTAAATAATTCTCACCAATGGGTTCTGGGCAGAGAGGTGTGTGTCACTTCTCAACTGAGCCATTTTTACTGAGGAGGCAAGACCTTTCAGTGTTTCTTTCTTCTTCTATCTCTGGATTCTGGAAAGTATATATGATGGAAATGGACTCTCTACTAAGTTTAAATACCTTGGTAACTACACTGAATACAAAGACCTTCCCTTTGACCTAACATGGACATGTAACATCAGTGAGAAATAAACATCTGTTAGAAGATACTGGGATCATTTAGTAGTGCAATATAAACAAGCCTGTGTTAACCAGGCATCTAAAAGGATCACTCGGCTCACTATTAGTATGGATTGCAAAGATCCTATCTTGGTTTAAAAACACAAGATTTGGGGCCAAGAGATGAACGTAACTAAGAACATGACCTTTCACCTCATTTTAAGTGAAAACATTAGTGATAATAAATCACACAAAGAACCCAGAGATGTGTCAAAAGCATTAATCTCAAGTCAAAGCCCTATTTTCTGTTCTACTGCTCTAAGCCCAGTTCCAAAAGCCCAGAGGCTTCAGGAATGGGACTAAATACTACCCTCCATCCTAGGTGGTCCTAGATCTTCTTATCAGCTTTTTCTCACACAAGGCTTTGGGAACCCAGGAGTGGCTGCTATAGTGCTATCAATCATATCTTCCATATTACCTATCTCTCATGTATTTCTTCCCTTACACAATACAAAGAGGGTCTTCAGAAGTATGTAGTGTATGTAGTCTTCAGAAGTATGTAGTGAAGATACTGGAAAACGAACAACGCTGCTAAGTCCTGTAAATTCTTATCTCCATGGTATTCTTCTTATATTATTTGGAGTACAGTAAACTGTTATATCTCCAAACATATTCATATTCAAACATATATAAAAGTCATAAGAAAATCAAGTATGCATTTTTGTATTATCAATAGTACCAACCACCTTAAATATAAAGGATGCAAAACCTTTACATTGTTAAATTATTTATTAATTTTTTAAAAATTATTATATATTTGATAAAAATATATATTAAGGGTCTCACTATGTTGCCCAAGCTGGTCTCAAACTCCTGGGCTTAAACAATCCTCCCACCTAGGCCTCCCAAAGTGCTGGAATTGAAACACCATGCCCAGCCAGAAATCTCCTCAAATTTAAAATGGCTATGGTTGACTTTGTGGAAAGTTTTATATATACATACATGCACACACACACACACACACACACACACATATATATATAAGTAAAATATACATGTATTACATATATATGTAAAGTTAAATCTTCTATATATGTAAAGTTAAAATATACGAAGATTTTTAGTAAAAGAGCATTTCAAGATAAGTAGAGTTTTATTAAGGTCACACATATAGAAATATTAATGAAATAAGATTAAACCTCTTGCTTTTATCAACATAGAATTCAATTATAATTGGTACCATTTATCGGCAAATATGTATTGTTAAAATACTTAAAAAGGTTTTTTTAATTTTAAGTTTTGTTTTTATCCTAGTAAGACTGAACACTTTCAAACAATGCTTGGTCTTTTTTCCATCCTCTATTTATGACTTACTGGTTACTATACATTATTTTTCATTGATTTTTAATAAATTTTAATGTATAATATTGCATGGAAAAGTCTTAAAAATAAATTCTCCCTGTAAAAATAATTTCTGTCATTAAAATAATCAGGGAAAAAATCCTTTACAAATGTAAACTTAGCTCATCCTGAATTTGGAGAAATTCTAAGACAATTAAGCTCTAATTAGTGAGTTTTTTTAAACAGAGAACTTGGCAATTCCACTGATGTTTAGGTTTTCCTCAACATTTTTCAATTTATTGTAAAAAATTAAATATATCCATGAGAAATTAACAATGCTCTTTTTTAGTTCAGCCAGAGTTTTAAAATGGAGACATATGTTTTGCTAACTGACAAATGGTGGCCAGCATGAAATAAATTGGTGGCCTTGGTCTAGTTTCCACTGGACAGGTGTCCTCATCACAGAAACATTTAACTAATTAACCCAATTGGCACCCATCAGGGGACAGTGGACAATCTCCTAGGTGAAATAACTGACTCCTCATTCCAAGAAGTAAATACTCTTGTACAGATGCAGCAAGTTAAGTTAGTAAATCAATTTTTGTTCTAGTATTTGTCTCAGCAGTTGGTCCTTCCTGCTTCTTTTACTACAACTGCCAGCACTGTGTTTCTAAAGGCCCATAGAGGAAAATTATTCTAAATTGAATAAATAAGAAAACAGATGGAGAGGAGTAATATGAGGTGTATGAGTGTGCACATGCAGTGAGATTAAAGAGCGAAAATGGGGACATAGGGATGCCAGCCACACCAAAGAGGGTTTGAGAGCTTCTCTTGAGTGTGAAAATGGAAAGTGAGACTTTTAAGCTTCTCTGGTACAGAAGTTTACACTCTTCCATACAATCACCCAGGGGTGACTGGACCTCTAAATGGAAGGGTGGGTGGGGTAAACAGTATCATGAAAAGCAAACACTGAACTCTGAGGTCTTGAGTACCTTGGGAAGAGCACCTCAGCCCAAATTTTGCCTGGAAACAGAACTAAACAGCCTTGAAAGGAATTTAACTGTTTGTTCAAGGAGGTCATCAGAAACAACTGTGAGCTAAAGTCAAAGGGGAACACAAGGATCTCTGTAAAACTCCCAGGACCTGTACATTTACCCAGGGTAGTGGAAGAGAATGCCAAAATATAGATGAGGCTGCATTATCAGCCAAACAAGTGGGTGAGGATCTCAAGAGGGTTAAAATTAGTGCAGAGGAAGAAAGGAATGTGATAATAAAGTGGCAGGCAAACTAAAATGTATTCCTACTCCTTACATTAAAAAGGTTGTGGTGGGGCGCAGTGGCTTACTCCTGTCATCCCAGCACTTTGGAAGGCGCAAGGCACACATATCACGATGGCAGGAGTTCGAGACCAGCCTGACCAATGTGGTGAAACCTGGTCTCTTAAAATATAAAAATTAGCTGGGCATGGTGGTATGTACCTGTATTCCCAGCTACTCACGAGGCTGAAACAGGAGAATTGCCTGAACCCAGGAGGCAGAGGTTGCAGTGAGCCAAGACCGCACCACTGTACTACAACCTGGGTGACAGAGCAAGACTTCATCTCAAAAAAAAAAAAAAAGTTGATGACCAGGCTCTTCACAGTATTATGATGATCTTTTTTTTTCTTTTTTTAACATTTTTTTATTTATTTTTATTCAGTCACCATAGAGACTGCCAAAAAATGTTCATGATGATGACATACCCTAAGTGGTCACAGCAGGGTATTGGGGAATGTTTTCAAAGCTATAATCACATGTAGGATAAACCTCATTGGCTGCGATACTGCCACTGCACAAAGCTATGATGATCTTTCCATATGTCAACATGACTAGGCTACACTTCCCAGTTATTTAATCAAATATTAATCCAAGTGTCACTTTGAAGGTATACTGTAGATGTGATTAGAGTCCAAAATCAGTTGACTTCAAGTAAGGGAAATTGTCCTAAATAATCTGGGTGGGCCTGATTCAATCAGTTGAAAGGCCTGAAGAGCAGAGCTAAGGTTTCCTGAAGACAAAAGAAATTCTGCCTGTGACAGCAGCTTCAACTTGTGCTTGAGGCTTCTAGTCTCTCATCTTCACTGCCTGCCCTACAGATTTCAGACCTTCATAGCCAGACCCCACATTTGCATAAACCAATTCCTTGGGATACATTTCTCTTAAAAGGTACCTTCTACTGGAGCTGCTTCTTTGGTTGACCCTGACTAACTCTTCCTCACAGAAAAGGTACAGTAATTTAGAGCAGTAGTTTGCAAAGTGATAACTGTAACCTATAGAGGTTTTGAATCAATCTAATAGGTCATGAAGAGCATTGGGAAAAGTAAAATAGAAAAGGAGAGAATAGAGAAACATCAGCATTCATTTAAGGGGACATATTGTACTTCAGAACTTTTGGTTTCAAATATACACATACATATATGCATATGTAATGTACCCTATCTCAATATAAATGGTTTTGGTTTAGAGACTAAAAGAATGGTAGTACTTAAGAAATAGTGAAAAAGTCAAAGCAGGGAATACAGGCTTCTCAAACTACCAAGCCTGTGAATACTGAATACAGATATAGAAACTACCCTTCACACCTTCTCTTTTGATCAATTGATTCTTACTTCAAATCCTTATTAAGCACCAGCTCACTGGTTAGCACTGTGCTCAGTATTGAAAATACCTTATTAGGCTGGGGGTGGTGGAACACACCTGTAATCCCACTAATTTAGGAGGCAAAAACAGGTGGATCACCTGAGGTTAGGAGTTCAGGACCAGCCTGGTCAACATGGTGAAACCCCTTTTCTCTTAAAAATACAAAAATAAATAAATAAATAAATGGGCATGGTGGCAGGTGCCTGTAATTCCAGCTGCTCAGGACGCTGAGGCAGAAGAATTGCTTGAATCTAGAAGGCAGAGGTTGCAGTAAGAAGAGATTGTGCCACTGCACTCCAGCCTGGGTGACAGGAAAAAAAAAAAAAGAAAAAAGGAAGTACTTCATTAATCTCAGACCTGTGATTGTAAACAATATAAAGGCTGCAATAAAGGGATGTGGGCCATGCTACGGGACCACACAGTAGAGACATCTAAGCCTACCCAGCAGGACAAGTGAACAAAAAAGAATTTCTCAGGCAAACCTGAAAGCAGACTTCAGCCAGCAATGGTTAGAGTCAGCAAATAATAAAGCAGGGTGAGGGTGGTATGTGCGGCAGGCATTCTGAGAGGAAGACTAGCGTGTGCATGGCAGAAATCAGACAGAAGAACAGAATAACAGGACAGGAAGTAAGCCAACATGGCCAAGGCCACAGTGGTGAATGCATGGGAAGAGATGGTACAAAAACAGGTAAGGGAGTTCTGTGGCACAGTTTTTGTCAGTAAAATCCACATGCTATGCAGAGTCCCTAAAAGCATTTGTCTTTCAGAGAAGGGGAGTTTATGAAGATTAGAGAGAACCAGAACTAAAAAGAAAGAGAGAAGCCAGGAGTTCTAGGAAACCTCTATCTTCAGCCCTCCCTTTTGGAGGACTTTTTAGTGGGAGTTTAGGCCTCTCAGAATACTAAGAGATTCTTCTCAAATGATCCTGGTGATGGGGCCAGTCATTTGTGCAACAGCAGAAGAAAGGCAAGAATATGATCGCAATGTCCTTGCAAAAATAACAAAGGCAATATGAATCTCAGAAGGCCATGAGCAAACGAAGGTCCTAAGAACTAAAGGTCCTACTGCAGAATCAGTCAGACACATGAGGGAGAATGACAGCAACAAAAGCCCTTCCTTTGCCAAACACATCTCTTAAGTTTTTAGGGTGAAATTATGTAAAATACATGCATTATAAAGGCCTATCTAAAATCCAGTATTTCCACAGTGTGCTGGGTCTCATAAAAAGATAATTCATACTTGAGGTTTAGCACTATCTACTGAGTCAAATAATAAAACAAAGGTTGCACAATTTTATATAATCTCAAATAGCTTCAAATGCTGATAGAGGTTTTAAAAAAATGTTTTAGCAAGTATTTCTAGCACTGAGACATATACAGTACAACCAAAAATTTTAATTTCTATAAAGGTCACAAGTAAAATATGCTTCGTTTTTAAACTCTTCAAGCTGAGGCCAGACATCACATGGTGGGGGGCGGGGGCTGCAAAACAAGACAAGCACAAACAACTAATTGTTAGAGAATGCATATATACATGAGGACACATGCTGTGGTACAAGGCTGAGCTTGTAAACCTAAGACTAGACTTACAAAAAATCTTCACTGCATTCTAGGCAGCTATCAGCCATGTTAAAAAACAATCATGTTACCCTTATAAAGCAGGAAAGACTCTGTTTTCTTATAAACAGATTGTCCTTTCCATTTAGACTTCTTCAAGAACTACAGTCAAATGTAATGAACCAATTCTAGATCATGACTAAAAACGTCAATATACAGCTAAATCTACAAATGGTATCTGTCTCATGTTCCCCTTACTTATTGGGAAAACTTGAAGGGTGGAAATCCTTTACAGGAAACAAGATAATAAACTATCCTTGTTAAAACATGTCGAGGACAGTGTTATCACATTATTCTTACTGTTTCTGAAGTGAAAACTGCCACTACTTCCATCAGCATAGGATTAATGGTTGAACGTGGGGATCACTGACCTTGAATCACATTAACTTTGACCTCATATATCTTTTAATTGAACGAATGGTTTTGTAAATGTTGTGTGAACCACCATACTTCTTAATCAGTTGTCACCAGTCTCAGAAATCATCCACATAAAAGTACAAAAAGAAAACTGGTAATTTCTCTGTTAAAATAAGTAAGTGAATGCTCTGTAAGCAAAAAAGAAAATGCAGCAATCATCTGCACTTCCTACCGGGGTTCCTGATTCTGTATAGATAGTTCATACTTCTGGACCAGTTAGATGCCTCGATAGCACCCTCAAATTTAAAGTACCCAAAAGCCAAATTATAGTGTCTCCCATTCTGTCTTCTGTAAGGTCTCTCATGTTAAAGGACAACAGGATCCTTCTGGTCACATAGGCTTGAAAAGGCAGTAAATCACACAACAAAACTTCCTCTTCACCTCCTACACACCCACATGAAATTAGAAAAAATAGCCTTTTGTTCTTATCCTTTTTTTTTTTGAGATGGAGTCTCCTTCTGTCCCCCAGGCTGGAATGCAGTGGCGTGATCTCAGCTCACTGCAACTGCAACCACCTCTGTCTGGGTTCTAGCAATTCTCCTGCCTCAGCCTCCCAAGTAGCTAGGATTATACAATCCTGCCACCATGCCTAGCTAATTTTTGTATTTTTAGTAGAGACGAAATTTCACCCCTTTGGCCAGGCTGGTCTCAAAGTCCTGAACTCAAATGATCCGCCTGCCTTTGCCTCCCAAAGTTCTGGGATTATAGGCATAAGCCACCACGCCCAGCCTATTTCTATTTTTAAAAGGATTCTTTTTCTACTTAATCCTCCCTATTCCCTCTGCCTACTACGATTCCTAATAAGTTATCTGGCAACTTATGATACACCACATATAAGCGCCATTCTTAAAGCCTGGCTCTAATCACATCACTGTGGGTCAGGAAACAGCACTGGAAGATGGGATGGACAGAGAGAGAGAATGAATTTATAAATGATTTTAAATTTCTTGTGTATACTTTTTGTACTTTCCAAATTCTATATAATGAGCAAGTACTACTTTCTAATGGAGATGGAAAAGAACACAAAAATACCTCTTAAGTTGGTTGAAACATGCAGACAGACATCCAAAGTTCTCTAAGATCTGGCTCCAGCATACATGACCAGCCTTTACTTAATGCTACTGTTTCTTTCATTCTCCCTATCATGCAAAAGTTGTTACTATTTTGTTATGTGTTTGTTAAGCTTTCTTTCATATTTTTTGGTCTCTCTCATAGATTTATTACATTATGCTACATATTGTATTTATCTATGACCACAGTTTTATTCAAATAAAGTCAGCTGCTTTGGAGTGTATCTTTCTATCAGTTAATGTTCATAATACAATGTTTTAGAAGTAATGGGTCTTTTATAATTGTCAGTGAACCATATACGGTTGGTACCTTAAATCCAAACCACTTCTGAACAAAAGAAAAGTGACCTGTGAGAGGCAACAACTCACCAAAAGGATAATAATAAAATTTATAATTTCAAAACAAGTCTTACACACAATTCAGGCTGTGTTCTAGAAGACATGACTTAATAACACAGACTTAATGATTATTTGTGTCAGGAATCAAGTATTACCAAAAAAGGAACATTTATTAATACTACCAAAATTAATTTTTGTATTGTATGGTAGACAATATAAAAAAAAAACTTCTACTCTCCTTTTTAAGGATTAGGTTGTGTTGTTCCTGGCAAGAAGTTTTATAATGCTTCTGTTTTTTGATCATTTTAATGTGACTGAGTAGACAATCTAATTTGGAAGAACTTATAATTTACTTTTTAAATATATTTTGAAATGCTAAAATAAAATTGTATTAGAAATAGTATAGTCAAGGGTAATTGGCTTTCCTGATGTGGATAAAAGTGTATTATTTGGGTTCTCAGGGTGAAATAAAGAGCTGGCAAGAAGAATTAAAATACTTACAAGTATTTCCATTGTTGCTGGAGAATGGATTTAAATAAGTAAATATATAAAAGTGCTCCCTTTGCAGCCTTGAGTGCAGCATCTATCTTTAGGTGAGTAGGGCCAATTAAGGCTTTAATGTCCCACAACTATGGCAGATTTGCTGATTAAAATACAGCAGTCACTTTTACAGTTTTGCATTCTGGTCAGGGTGGTCTATCCTGAGAAACTCCATCTGT